CCTAGAACATCTCAATCACAGTTGCTTTTAAAGTTCAAGTAGGATCCACAATAAAACACCTGACCCAGCACGATTATTTTTCATATAAGTAATACTTACCGATTTAAAAGCCAGAAAGTCATCAACCGTAATTAAGGAACTCTGTAGGTGAGAACTAAAGATAATCTCTCAAAGCTTTAGCCAAGAATATCATGGTTTTCAGAAAAGTAACTTTAAATGCATGTGATTTATTAACTGAAATACTCCTTTAACCTAAAGCCCTGCTTAAATGATTTGTTTTCTGCTATTCTTTTAAATGCTCTGGACTTCGTCAATAGGCCCAGCTGTTAAATTTGGAAGCAGTGACCACATTCCCCAGGCAACACAACTCTCCTTCCGCAGCCATCAGAGAAAGCTGACAAAAGGCCAGCATGTCAAGCCCCCTTCAAACCCACCGCAAAGCGGACAGAAACAAAATAAATACACGACATTCATCTTAAAGAAACAGAATTCTACCCTGGGGTGGAACCTGCTTGCTCAAAGAAGCCAACAACTCTAAGCAGGGTGAGCTAGAAGAGGGAGCTAGCATTGCATTGGGGAAACTGGCTCCACTTCCCAGAGATCTCAGGCCCCGGGCAAATAGACCGACAGTGGCCAGACTTCAAAAACTATCGCAGGGCTCAAGCCTGTGAAGCCAATGTGCAACTTTACCTCCTTGACTTAAGCAATTTGAAGTCAATTCTAAATTACATATATACTTTTGAACCATACTGTCTCTTACAGTAGTGGTTTTCCTTGGATCCCAGAAAGTATCAACTGAATTTTATCACAGTGTTGGAGACTGGTCTCTCTAACCCCTCAGTAGTTCTGTCTGTGCTTCCAAAATCAAAGCTTCCTTCTGTGCCAGCACCTGGGGGCAGATGACTGCTACCAGCCTAACTTGGGGGGACCACCCTCAAATATGTGAGACTCTGTCCTTTCCAGCGATGACCAAACAGCGACCCTGCAGCAAAACTTTGCCTGTTTTGGGTCCAGGACTATTAATAAAATCCAAAAACCGAGGCTATAGTCTCATACTTCTAGTGACTTTTCAATATACCACTGTCCCTTTTTATTTTTAAGGGTTCTTTTGAGACAGAGTCTCATTCTGTAATTCAGGCCAGCCTTAAACTCACTCTGTAGCCCAAGCTGACCTCAAAATTGCAGCGATCCTTCTGTCTCAGCCTCCCAAGTGTTGGAATTACACCCATGCACCACCATGCCCAGCTCCTCCCTCTTCTTTTTTAAACATGATTTAAAAATGTTTTTAATATATTTTAACTTCAAATTTCAAAATCAACTTTGGATTATAATGAATAAATTAACTCTTCAGGACAGAAATCCAGACCCACAGAAGAGTTGTTCACTAAACCTTAAAGTTTCAATTTAATTTAATTAAGTGAAAAGCTTTTCATGAAAAATAATCTATCCTACTAAAGGAAAATATTTAAACTTACAGAAATGTACCTCTTAAACAACTTTACTGATGCCAAAGTTAACCTCAAAATTTTGAAAGAAAAGAACACCATGATGTTACAATAATTCCTTTCTCTTTCAGCTACAAATGTTCATGTAAAAATTATTTTCAGCCCAAGTGAAGTCATGATAAACCTAAGAAATCAGGCCAGCTTTATGTTCTCTTTCCCTCTATCTTAAGACTCAATTTCCACCTTTTATGGAAAGGAAATAAACAGCTCGCTTCCTGTTCAATCACTAGCTCACAGCCAGTCTTTTACACATCACAGAACACTGCCCGGCCCTCCTTGGCTTCTCTCCAATGTCTCTTATCTTAATTTAAACTTGTTGAAATATGAGACTTCTACCACACTAATGTTTTCCTATGAAATGTACTTCTTTCAATGTTAAGCAAGCAAGCAACGTCAAGTTGTCCAGTTATTTCTTATTCCTAAAATATCCAAACTAAATTATTCCTATAACAAAGAGTATCTAAGGTGAAACTATGATTTGCTAAAATTCTAAAAGATTTACGTTTATGGGGACAGTTCTGTATTTTGTTCTTACTATTGTACGCAACTGGAAAAGGGGCCTCCCCCCTTTCTGTTCTAATGACATTAAAATGTAAAACAGCGAAAATGGCAATCAAAGAAAAGGATTAACTTTTCTTTAAAGCTAAATATTACTTTAACCTTGTATTTTCCTTTAAAGATGGGATGCCTTAGCAAAACTGAGCTGGATGGATTCTTTTGTGCTTGGGTGAACAACAGGGAAGCCAGGCTTGGCCGGGGGAGGACTCACTGCTGTCGGGACTGTGATGTGCTGGGAGATAAGGCTCCACGGTGACACTCGAGGGAAGGCTGCTCGAGTCTGGACTCTGCATTCCTCGAGAACAATTCATGGCAATAACCAACTTTGCAGAGGAGCGACATGAAAGCTGGGGCCCATGAATGAGGGTCATCTGCTCTTTATCACAAGGGTAAACCTCATCCTGGCCAGTTTCTAACCTTTTAACCCTGTGAATTCCTAATTTACACATGAATAATGGAATTCTTGCCTAGAGTACAACTTTCAGCTTCTAGTTCCTAAGTTTAGAGACCAAGACTTGATTGCCTGGGTGTTAAAACCCTACAGCTTGCAGACTGAAGTTTTGCATTTCAGGGACTGTGCTGTTACATTTCTGAACCAAGACATGCTTGCTTACAACATCTCTAAAAAAAATAAAAGAAGACATGTTAGCCTGCTGTTACCAATAACTAGGAGAACTAGCTTTAAAAACCCCAAAGCAGAATGTCCACTGAAAGCCTATTCTCTTCCTGTTTACAGCAGATAACATCTTTACCCTGAAGGTAGGAAAAGCACTGGGCTGGGCGCCTCCAGGGAGGCTCAGCACTTCTTAGCTCCCAGAGCCAGCTATGTCAGTTCAGGGTCTCTGAGAAAAATCTAAATCTTCCGTTTTAAAATCAGTAATACTGGCTGGGGTTTCCTAGCACAAGACCCCCTCAGGGCTAAATAAAATGTGTGTAGTTAGCATTTAATAGCAAAGCAATGTTCTGGAGTTTCACTGCAAAGTACGAAAACTACTTCACAACGCACTTCAAGATGACTTCCATCTAGTGAAGCATTTATTATGTCTTCACAAACACAGAAATCTGAGAATTGTTTTAAAGCTAGTACGTTTGTGAGTGTGTGCTGGGGATCGAACCCAGGGTCTTGTGCATGCTAAGCACATACTCTACCACCGAGCTACCACATTTGTTTGGTAACCCTATCACACACCTTTCAGGCTTTATTCATGAAAATCAGAAAGCTCTGCGTGCTCTCAAAAGTGTTTCAGCAAGCCTGAGGAGTCTTCTCCGGAGGTCCCGGAAACAACATGTGCCGTGACAAATGCTTCGTCTCTTCAAGGCCTCCGCCCCATCCCCCACCCTGCCGCAGCCCTCCTGCAGCCCCTCCCGCAGGAGTCCTCTAAGGCACAGTTCCCGGGCAGCAAGCACCAGCCTCCACCAACCTGGAAACTGGAAGAAAAGCTGGAAGCCTGAAGAGCAATTTTGCATTAGACAGGAATTAAGTGAACAGAACTTAAATTCGAAAAGCACACTGTCCTGAAAAGAGTACTGGGTAGGAAAGCCATTACCAAATGGAAAAGGAATGACGAGCAGCCAATGATTATGATTACGGCAACAAGAAAGAAGAAAACCAAAGTTTTCCTAGAAATCCACTCCAGTTTATGCCTTCTTTGGCAGAGATGGGGGTGGGGTTACATCTGAAAATTCCTCTGGTATCTTTGCTTGCAATTTATCTTTATTGTAAAATTAAACAAATTACTAATACAAGGGAGGCATAATTATGGCCATGCACTTTTACAATAAACACGGGGGATTTCTGCCAATAGCCTAAGTTTAAATTGTATATACCTGTTTTTTGGTACCGGGGATCGAACTTGGGACCTTGCGCTTGCAAGGCAGGCACCAGAACCACTGAGCTAAATCCCTGGCCTCAATTGTATATATCTTAAAGAAACAATTTCTTAAAGATTATCCCTTTATCTCAAGAACTCCCTCTTCCTGTTGTTCATGTGTTGGTCAATTGTAGGGACAGTGCAAAATCTATCTTTTGTGAATTAACAAAAGCATGAAGTGAGGATGCCTAGAAAGCCACTCTAGGATACAGTTTGTTTCGTCTATCAACATCTAGATAATTTGCTGGAGTCCTGGCTGCAGTGTGGGACCCTCTGTGAGGCATAACCTCTAGGGAAGCAAGGCCTCACCTGGCCTCCACCCACCACCTACTCACAGTGCTCGGAACAGGTTGCTAACACAAAGGCCATCATTGGACAGCAAACAAGTCAGGGGAAAATGAGTGGCCTGGTTTTGGTTTAAGTCCATTAAGCATAGTATGAAAATGGCCTTAATCTCGTGCTCTGCCAGCAGGAAAAGACCAGGAAGGCTTCAAAGGCTAGAGAGTTGCTGACAATGCCCTCTCCTACAAACAGAAAGCCACATGGGTGATCTAAAAGCAGCCAGAGAAATGGGAGGCTGGGCTCAAAGAGAGATTTAGCACTCAGAGCCATCTACAAAGTAGAGAGATTTACTTCTGATTGTGTTCATGGCTGATTTCCACAAGATGAGTTTGTAGAACAAGTTCTGTTGTGTTGGCCAAACCTCTTTCCATGGGGTGACCTGAAATTTATGTAACGTCATCCTATGTAACGTCATCCCTGCAGGTTCTGTTTTGCTTGATTTTCTTTTCTTTTTTTTTTAGGTACCAGGGATTGAACTCGGGTCCTTGCGCTTGGGCAGCAGGCAGCGAAACCACTGAGCTAAATCCCCAGCCCCTGCTTTGCTTGATTTTCTAAACTCCAGTTGACTTCTGTGTCATTCATCTCACTTTCTGTGTGTATTCCTCTCTGCACGCCTCCATCAATTACTATCCCCAGGAAAATTATTAATGTGTGCGATTTTTAGGGCTATGATATTCATAACTGTCGCAATGGAAAATGTTGAGACCAATACCGCAACACTTACTTGATAAGGTGAGATGTGCTTTTTGACTCAGGATGGCTCCGTATTTGTTCACTGCCAAACACTGGTAAAATCCCTCATCAGACTGGGCTCCCCGCCTGCCTTCCACTTCGCTGATGTACAAAGAGCCATTAGAAAGAACCTGGATCCGTTTATTTTCAGACACTTTTGCTCCATTTTTCAACCATGTGACCTTAATAGGAACTTCTCCGTGGGCCTGGCAATCTAAAAAGACCGGGTCCTTTCTTGTGACAGTTACATCCTGTGGTTCTCTTACAAAAAACAGTTCGCTAAAGCACCACACGCCTACAGGAAAAGGGGAGAAAGGTATATCCAGAATTACAGGTATAAAATTATTTAACACACAGATGTAAAACACATATTCAGAGTGAAGGATGGAATCTAACTGTCCATATTAGTTAACATACAAGAGTTTCCTCAACTTTTTCAACAAGGTAAAGTCACCTTTTACCACATCCACACTAAAGGCAGAGTTTAAGCAACTTCTATCCCTTATAAGAATTCTCAAGTTCCTTGCTAGTTTCAAAATCTTCACTAAAACTCATGCTCATAAGCTGTTTGCTACTTTTACAAGCTTGTCAAAACGATCTTGAACAGAGGAAGTCGTAAAAGTCTAATTTTACAAGAAATCATTAGCAAAACTCCCACTCTGTGAACAAGCAAGTTATTTCCCCCTGCCCTGGAGTGTTTTTGGAACCCTTGGCGCCTACTTCTTTAGAAAGTGCCATTATCTTTGGTGACAAATTACAAGTTTTAATTTTTCTATCTCCCCCTTTACAGCTGGGATTCTGCTTTCTCTCCTTGAAAGAAATCCATTTACTTACTTTCTGCAAGGCCAGCTAGGTATTTTAAGGACAAACAATAGACTGAAAAGCTGGTAACTCTTGCTGCTTGTACTCAGTGGGCGATCGGGGCCATCGGATTAGGAAACTTTTATTTCGCTTTTTTAGAACTACCAACTGTTGGGAAAAATGCGTGACTAATCGGTCCTTACTGTCTAATAGGGAGAGAAGGCTGCTTAATCAGCCAATACACATTTTTATCAGAGCAGAGAAAATGCTTCACCCTAAGCAAATCCATCCCCCGGCCCCTCCAGGAAAAAGGATCCGGTGACCTCTCCATGCGAGCCGCAGTCCCGCCGGCCGCACCTGACTAGGTCCTTTCCGCCTGTGGACTGCGCGGGCGACGCGCGAACACGCGGGGGAACTATTGCCCCGGCAAGTCCGCCCGACAGCGGGGTCCGCGAGGAACCGCGCCGAAGCCAGGCACAGAGTGGGCTCCTCCGAGTTTGTGCACGACCCGCCGCCGACCACTCTGCGCCCCTCGCCCCGCGCCCCGCGCCCCGCACCGCCGCCCCCGCCCTCAGGGGACCCTGCCCCCGCCGCCCCGAGCGAAGACGCCGCCACGTGCGGCCGGACCTGGCGAGGGACAATGGCCGCGGGGTCAAGCGGCGCGGGGCCGGGCCGGGCTGGGGCCGGGGCGCGGGCGCGGAGGAGCCGGAGGACGCGCGCACCTGGGCTGGCGCCGAGCAGCGGCAGCAGCAGCAGCAGCGGCAGCAGCGCGCGCATCCCCGGCGGCCGCTCGGACGGCGCCATCAGCGGGTCCTGGCGGGCATGGCCGGGACAGGCCGGGCCGGACCGGGACCGGGACCGGGACCAGGGCAGGACCGGGACGAGACCGGGACCGACCCGACCCAGACCAGGGCGACCGCGCGGCGGCGTGCAGGCGGCGGGACGTGGAGCCGTGGTTCGGACGGAGCCGCGATGTGGACGGCGGCGGCGGTGTGGACGGCGGCGGAGGCGGCGCCGACTGGACAGGCGGGGACTACTTTCCGGGCGGGCGCGGAGGGACACGGGGCGGAGCGAAGCCTTGCCGGACAACGGCGCCCACCGCCCGCCAGGTCCTGCCCATCCCCGCGGTGGGAGGGACGGCGCCTCCAGACGGGGACCAGATCTGGGACCCCAGACAGGCACCCCAGGTGTGGACCCCGGCGAGGGCCAGGGGTGGGGGCAGAGACCAGCGCTCAGGCCTGACTCCCGCCACAAGGGGCTGAGTCCCAGGTCGTGAGAGCGGTGCGAAGGCCCTGTCCCCATGGCAGAGGCCCCCGAGGGCTCTGGATTCTAGGAGCCAGCGTGGCCACCAGACTCTGAACGAGCACCCCCGACCTCGGGAAAGGCACGACGATGGGAATGCGCCCCCAGCAGCTGCAGACACGGAAGGGTAGGAGAATCTGGGCACACAACCAGAGCGTGGATCACAGAGCGCGCTCACGCGTGGACACTGAGGCCACGGCGAAGGACAGGGCTGGTCTGGGAGCTCGGTCCGAGGCACGTTTTGCCCCAGCGCGTCCGGAAATCCTGAGAAACAGGCGATCAAAAAGACGGTTTGGGAACATCTACTTAGCAGTCGCAACATAACTCATGCAAAACTGCAGCACCCTTCGCCATGCTGCTTCCAAACCTCTCTTTTAATTTAGATGAGGTCAAACTATTTCTAAACACCAGAGTAAAGGTTCATGTAAAGGGAATCCTGTTTGTGCAATAAAATGAGAGCTTTGCAAAGATGTTTTAAATATCTAGTCAGTCACGTTTACACAGCTGCTGCTGTAGCTGCTGCTGATTTTTTAACTTGAATGACATTGTTCTCTCCCTCTTGACTCTTCCTTCTAGTTCCCTTTCAGTTGACCGTAAGTGCTCATATTTCCTGGATAAGAATCGTTGATAAGGTGCTGTTATGCTTTTTCTTTTATTAAATCCTTTTATTGGTACATTGTAGGTATACAACACAATTACATTTCTCATTGGGAATTGTACCTTTACATAATGCATCTTGGTTCTTATTTTTTCCCCATTCCTAGCCCTCCCTTCACGCCCTCCACCCTTCCCTATTTACAAAGACTTTATTTCCATTTTTTCCATTTCTCATCATTTTTCCTTTCCCTTCTTTCCTTTCCCCTGCCCCTCCCACTACCCCTACCCCTTTGGACCTTTTCTTCCTATTTTACATTATCAATTATTCATTCTAATCATTGGTACATTTTAGGTATACAATATGCTGTCTTTCTTGAATGAATCAGAATAAGAGCCAGAGGAGGAGAGAGATAACCTAAAAGGCAGGGAAGAACAGGGCTTAAAGAACTGCCACTTTGCCTTCCAACGTTTTCATCACTCCTGGGAGCCTTTGGTTCTCATGAGATAGCTTTGGACCTTGAGTTAGGTGCCTTGGGGAGCAGTTTTGCACTGTATCACATGGTGTGAGGTAATATAATGAAGGCAAACAACCTGCAAGGGATGTTACAGCAAGGGACTTACTCAGACAGTGTGATTTTGCCACTTTACGCAAAACTCAGAGCACACCCAAAGCGTTGGTAAATGCTCCCTTGATTCTCACAATAACCCAGAGAGCTGATTACTCATCTCTCCATTTTAACTTGAAGAATCAGGCTTACCCATGGCCACTGGTTAGTAAGTGGGAACTCAAACAGAATTCATGCCTTCTGATTTCTACTATCTGATCCTCTGCCTTAAATTTGAGCCTCTCCCTCCCCCCGCCTCCTTCTTTCTTTCCTTTCCTCCTTCCTTCCTTTTGCTCTTGTTCATCCTAAGATCTGTTGGCTTCAGAATTTACAGCACACATCTTTGAATAACAGCACCTGTCTTCACGCACACTTAGATCTCCTCTCCACGTAAGGCTCCTCTTGCCTTGTAAGCCAGGCTGGCAGCTGTTGAAAAGCTCTGATCCAGTCCTTCTCATTGCCCATCGTTTCCTCCGTCACCACATTTTGCGTGTAGTTTTAAAAGCCTGGGTTTTAGTTTCTAGCAGATTACAGTTCAGATTTCAGTGTTGCATAAACAAATTACTCAGGCTCTCAAATCTAATCTATTTAATGGGAATGACTGTGATACCACCGGGCTGCTGCATGGTGTAACCTTACACCTGGCACATCATTGCTATTATTATTTAGTAAGTAGAAGTTCCCTACAGTGACAAATCTTTGTACTTTCAACGTGGGCTTGATTTTGCATAATTTAGCTTTTTAAGAGTCAAATCTGATGTATTGTTTGGTTACTATGCTGCTGGGGCCTTGAAGGACTTCTTGGAGTGGTTTCTAAGCAGTTCTGAAGGAAGTAAGAAGTGTGGAGGTGTCTAACCTCCAAAGCCAAGGCCTTGGAGGACAAATCTCACCAAGGAAAACAACAGCCTTTCATATTCTGCGAGGACAATTATTTTCAGACTGTAAAGAGTAGAGCCTGTATACTGGAAAAAGAACTGAAATTTGAGGGGAAATTAAAAAACAGAATCAATTTTTTTATTAAATTCAAATCTCCTGTCCCAACTTTGAGGAGAAAATCACATAATAGCCATCAAATCATGGAGCTATATATTAAATGGCCTTCAAGCCCTCTGGCCTCTGAATATTGCCTAGTTCTATGGAGTCACAGGGCCATTTGTCAGACTGTGAATCATAGAAAATGTCAGAAGGTGATGAACCCCACCTGGCCGTCCTTTTCCAGTGCTTGGAGATTGAACTAGTGTCTTTGCACTGAGCTACGTCTGCAGCCATATATATATGGGTTGGACTCAAACTTGTGATCCTTCTGCCTTAGCCTTCTAGAGTGCTAGGACTACAGGTGTCCACCACTACACCTGGCTAAATCTGCTCTTTTAAACAAATATTTATGTACCTCTTCATATGTAGAAGACCAGGCTCGATGTGGGTCTCATTCCATGATTTTCATATTTCAGAAATCAGTTGCTGATAAGCTTAATGATGACCTCTGGAAGCATTCTGAAATGAGGCATTCTAAAAGTGCATTGCAGTTGTTGGAACTGTGAAATCCCCCAATTACTATCAAAAGCATTGTGAGACTCTTCAAAAAAACTAAAAACACAACCACCAAATAACCCACAAATTTCACATTTGAGTACATACTCAATAGAAGTAAAAACAGGCTTTCAAAGATACTTGCATACACATGTTCATTGCAACTTTATCCACAACAGCCAGAATGAACTTAACCTAAATATCTACCAAGGGATCAATGGAAAGTGAAGAAATATTATTCTGCCTTAAAGAATAATTTGGAGGGGCTGGGGATTTAGCTCAGTGGTTCCGCTGACTGCCTTGCAAGCACAAGGACCCGAGTTCGATCCCTGGTACCAAAAAATAATAATAATATGGAGTATTAAAATATGAAAATATTTCATTATTGTTATGGCTTGTTGTCAGGAGTCATTCTACATAATTTTGGGGGAAAATCATTTCATAATTAAAGTATGACTATAACTGTCTAAGGCCCAATGTCACCTTGCCCACCAGCTGACAATGGCATGTGGAAACGTAACTCTTCTTTTGCTTCTGGTCGCAAGTTGAGGCCTCGATGGTCCTGTGATACTCTGATGCTCCAGGGCAAGAGAACAGCAGCCGAAAACATGCTGGTTCTTTGAGAACCGAGTAGTAATAGCCTGCTACCTTGTCCCACTTAGTATTATAAGAATGCTGTCCTTATTGCCTTCATCAGCATAAGATTATCATCACCCTCTGAGTCCTAAGTCACCTGATACTTTCTCCACTTATTGTGTGTACCCAATAAATAATGACCAGCTCGGCAGTGTCTTTGTCTTTGCCCACTCTGAGGCACTGACCTCCCAGCCCCACCATGTATTATGAAATTACACGTCTTTGTTGTCTTTCTTTAGCCCTCACTGTAGATTGGAGGATTGATCAGCTTCTGATAGCTTGTATCTAGACGTCCCCCCAAAGCCTCGTGCTCATAGGTGGGGCTTTTGGGAGATGGTTGGATCATGGGTGTGTGGTACTGGATTAGGGTATATGATACTGGTACTAAGGGTGTGTGATAAAAAGTGTGTTTAGAATAGTTCTGGGTGTGGATAATGGAAGCCCCACTCTGGGTGTGGGTGACACCAATCAATAGGCTTGTAGCCTGGATGGAATAAAAACAGACAGAAGGTAGGCAGGCTGCTGCTTGCTGCTTCCTGCTTGCCCTGCCATGGATTGTTTCTCCTCTGCCATGTCTCTCTGCCATGCCACCATGCCTTGGAGCAAGCCAACTATAGACTGAAACCCCTACAAACAGTGAGCCAAAATAAACCTTTTCCTCTTTAATTTGTGGGTGTCAGGTATTTTTTTCCCAACAATGAGAAAAGTAACCAAGATAATTACAGCATGTTATTCAGCTTTTAAAAAGAAGAAAAAAACTGGGCATTGTGATGCAGCCTGTGATTCCAGAGCTCAGGGAGGCTGACGCAGGAGGATCTCAAGTTTGAGCCCAGTGGGAGCAACTCAGCAACTTAGCAAGACCCTGTCCCAAAATATTTTAAAGAGGAGAAGCCTGGGTATGCAGCTTAGTGTGATGGCTCTGCTTTCAGACTCTAGTAGACGAGAGAGAGAGAGAGAGAGAGAGAGAGAGAGAGAGAGAGAGGACCTGTCATATGCTGAATCATGGTTGAAATTTGTGGGCTGGTTTTGTCTATTTATTTATTTTTTTGGTACCGGAGATTGAACTCTGGTCTTTGTGCCTGTGAGACAGGCGGTAGGCAGTGGAACCACTGAGCTAAATCCCCGGCCCCACTGGTTTTATTTTTAAACAAAATAAACCAGTCAGAAAAAGACAAAGGGTCCATGCTTCTGCTTCTGTTGAGTATTTTAAGTAATAAAATGCATATAAAAACAAAGTAGAATGTTGGTCATCAGGGACAAGGGGAAGGAAGAAAAGAAAGTTGTTCCATACCCATGGAGTTTCAGTAAGGGAAGATATAAAATATTTTTTGTTGTTGTTGTTATTTATCATTTTGTTGATTTCTTGTTTCTCAATGCACAATATTTTTGAAGAATAGCAATAAGATGTCCAAAATTCAACATTATTAAACATTCAAATAGTAAAATACAATGTGGAAAAAGCCCTCAAATGTCAAGTAATCTAAGCTCTATCTGTCAGAACCAATTGGGATAGCTGCTACTGGATTTATCACCGTGGTTCAAGATGAGAATTGCTATCCTCTGACCCAGGGAACAGGAACAAGTCTCAAATGTCAACCTGCCCTCTAGGAACTGGGGGAGCACTTTGGTCACCCTTTGCAATGTCTGGGAGATTTTCATAATGACTCTGC